TAAGTAGGTAGGTAGGTAAGTAGGTAAGTAGGTAAGTAGGTAAGTAGGTATGTATATATGTATGTGCGTGTATGTGCGTGTATGCGTGTATATATATATGTATATATATATATATATATAGATATAGATATACAGAGAGAGAGAGAGTACATAGACACAGATAGATTGACAGATCGATCAATAGATCGATAGCTAGGTTCATAGATAGATAGGCAGAATTGTATGTGCAAACATATATCTATATATATATATACACATATGTATATGTATCTATGCAGATCATCATGTCAGGCGCAAGAGCGAGACAGGACCGGACATCCGCACTACCTGCCCGCCGGAACACCGATCCGTTGGAACCCAGCTTCGCTTGTGTATGCAGGCAACTATGGGCGCGATCACATCCTTCTGGGGTTTCACGGCAGCAAGTGGGATGTTGGGTCAATGTCGCCACCGCTCAACACACGCGACGCAGTGGCGAGAGACGCAGCAAAACCAGAAATTCCCAGACCTGTAGGGTCGGACACCTCACTGCGGTCATGTAGCAGTTGCTTGCGGTTACTGCGCTTTGCCAAGGGTATTTTGTGGGCTGCAGGCATAAGTTCCCAGAAGGTCGGAACAGTCGCAATGGTCTTCGCCACGTTCACGATCTTTCCAGCGGAGTGGGGATCAGTGGAATTTGTCATGCTGCATAAACCACCATCGTCCGTCAAAGTAGGATGGATACGCAGGAACTTCCGTGGCAGGTGAGATAAGCGCAAGTTTTTTGTCTACGCACCCGGTCTGCTCCTGCTAGATCTGTTTTGCCGCGGCAATCTCTAAGCACCGTCTACTCGCTTACAGGGGCAATGTCCGAGCTCCCATGACTAGGCACTTTCAGCGGCCTGACTTCCTTGACCTCTTTCAGCTATTCTTGCTGGCGGCGGTTTCCGCGCCTCGCACCTCGCCCCAATGTGTGGTCTGGGATGGTGTGGGCACAGGTCTCAGGATGTTACCTTGCGTCGTGATCATGACCATCATGGTGATGCTCACGACGATGATGACGAACACGATCTAAGCTGGATGGTGGAAGCTGCTGATACGATGATGGAGATGGGCATGAGGCAGACGATGTTCATGCTGATGCCGGTGCTGGAGCTTGGTGTTGGCACTGTTGCTGCTGCTATTGCTAGTATGTGATGTCGTCGTCGTCGCTCGGGAGGTCGTCATCGTCGTCGTCGTCGTCATCATCATGGTCGCCATGGCTATCGTCATCGGCCTTGCCATCATCTTTCCAATCACCGGCACCATCATGATCACCACCACCATCCTCTTCATCTTTATCTGTAGTTGAACCAGTTCCATGGGGTGTGTTGACCGGCTTAGGACTTCCAAAGCCCTCAGCTCTGAACAACAAATTGCGGCTGGGGTGGGTGCGTGGGTGGGTGGGTGGGAGTTGCACACGGTGTATGTTCTTGGGTCTTGGGGTCCGTAAGAAGACAACCAAGTGAGCAAGCACCTGAGACGATTCCCTAGATTGGACCATGACTCCGCCTGTCCTTGTGTGTAAGTCTGAAAATGCACGAATCGTCGGGAACAAGGTGCGAGACAAGGTTGGCGAAATCGAGTACAAGTGGAGCATGGGCCCTGGGCCAGTATCTCAGACCTAAGCGGTGATGATGGTGGTGACTGCATTTGTTGAGGAGATTCCCGAGTTTTTGCGGGGCGCACGCGAAGAAATAATTGAGACCTCGGGTATTATTTCCTCCCGCGGGAAAAGAGAATAATGAAACGGACAACCATTTCATCATTATCATTTCCTTGCGGCTCCCAGTCCTTACACCCCCGCCGTACGAATAACCAGTATAATGAAATGGGAAACCATTGCATCAGTACTTTTCCCCCGCCCCTGTGTCCCCGCGTAAATAATTAACGGAACATGAAACCATTCCATTTCCTTGCCGCAGCCCTCCCCTCACCCTCCAACACAGTAAGGGAATGGGAAACCATCTCATTATTATGATTTGGCTCCCTTTCAAAGAATAAGAGTGCCCCTCCCTCCCCCAAGCCGATAACAATGTTAACGAGGCCGTTTCGTTGTTTTTATTTTTATTCTTACGACTATGTTCCACCCCAGCCAAGGCCAACCCCCCCCCCACTCCAAGTAATAATAGCCCCCCCCCCCCGCCCCAAATAAAAGTAGAATGGGAAACCATTTCATTCTGATTAATAAACATTTCCTACCAACCGCAGACTGCCCTCCAGATTATGTTGATGGAATGGGCCAACCACGCCCCCCTCCGGCCCAATTAAAACTAATGGGATGGCAAGCCATGTCATTATTGTAGTCATTGTTGTTATTTAGCTTTTTTGATTATTTGGCCCCCTCTCAAGTACAGTAAAATACTCCAGCCGCCCGCTGCCTCCTGGCACGCCCCACCCAGAATAAGTATGTCCTCCGGCTCGGCGGCGCTCCCACCCTCCGCACACGCCGGCGTCCTGTGATTCCGTTGTCGCCATTAGTTGTAGTGTCAGCAGTGCTGGTAATGAGCACATGGCCTTAGTAACAGTCCAGAGCTTGTCATTCTTGTCCCACCGCCTGACCCAAAATGATACTGATGGCCTGCCCTCGCCGTATTCAACAAAAAAGACAGATACCCCCCCTCCCCCCCCGGCCACCCCCACCCCCCTCTCCTCACCGCTTCCTTCTGGCGCGCCCGACCCGAACCAAAATGTTCAGAATTGTCCCTCCGTCCTCCACGTAGGAACAAAGGCTGCAGTCCTTCCCCGGTCGCGGCGCCGCTCACTTCGGCGGTTAGTGACAGTTAGTGACGAGGCAAGGGAAATAACAACACTAGACACATTAGCAAATATATGAGTAGTCATAGTAACATTAACCCTAGCTATTACTAGTATTATATTCATAGTAATACTAGCAGTAGTGTAGCACATTTGTGTGCGAAGTGACAACTCCAAGCTTTCGTCGAACTCACCGTTCGGACTTCGAGTGGATGTCCTAGGCCCGATTGAATGCGAACTTGTTGTGTATCCGTTGCCATTTAGCTTAAGTTCGTTTTCGAAAATTTTATTCTGGTCCTTTCCTCGGTGGAACTCCGATTGTTCGGCGAAATTCATCATGGCCGAGCTTCGCAGCAACTCTTGGTTTGAGTTTTGCTGCGAAGGAAACTGGGCCTCCATGCCTCGTGGAGTTCGTGTTCCCCCGAGCATGGTTGAACAGTTCCCCGAGGAAGTGGAAACCAGCGAGACGATCTACCTTGACAAAACGAGATTTGTGACATGTCCTTGAGCCAATGTCTGCACCCCGACTTCGTTGGCGGCACCTGGGTCGTACCGAATCTTATCTGCCACAAGTGGCTTCAGGGGATCTGTCGATATGGTACACGATGCTGGAACCAGCATAGCCATACCTTCGACGAAGCTCTCCGCACAGCCAACAGAGCTCAACTACTACTACAAAGAAATTGCCCACCGCTTTCCTACGAGCCCATCGACGCCGGCATCATCAAGCAGGTGAACCGCTCCGAAGCCACGGCGATGATCCTAACTACGATGGCCAGGTACCGCTTGGAGGTTATGAAATCCTGGCGATTCGGTACGAACTGGAACCATATACGACTGTCTCAACTGGGACCAGTCTGAGGATGCTGTTCGGGTGAGAGCTAACGAGGATCTACGACAACGCGACCTACGAGGAGTCCATAGAGACGCCTCCCCTCAAGCCCGCGGAAGAGGCGCTTCTCCTCGTCGAGGATTTTCCCCCCGACCATTTCATCAGCAACCGGCGGCTTGGCATGATCGACCACGCGCGTCTACTCCTCCGAGATCTTCGACTCCTCCCAGACCACGAAGTTCTTGTCCCGCCGCTCGACCTACGACTCACACCGATCCTTCCACGACGAGATCTTACTTCGACGGCGCCCCCATGGAGACGGAATCCGACAGCTCCTCCGTACCCAGCTTTGGTCGCAGCAGACAAACCCGGGCCTCTTTCCACCAAGGCGATGCAGAGGGGACGGCGACTAGTTCTGCACCGAGAGACATCCGAAGGACCAGGTCTCCGGCACGCGATTGGTTGGACTCTTCGCTTGCTCCCAGCCAATCTTCATCGAGTACCCCGATCATGGTCGAGGTTACGGAAGAGTGCCCCGCTGACACCACCGAGATCCTCGGATCCTCCTACGTTGGTTGGAGACGACCTCTGGAATCAATGCGAGGAAGAAGTACAACGGGCCCCTGCGACTCAGGCGGTGCCATCTTCTCACAAACAACCGAGGATTACATCGACGATGCCTGGAACTCCGAGTGGATCAATGATGCGATTCCTGAGTCGGCGAGGCCTGCGACACCTCCACCGAGCAGACCCTCCGAAGACCGATGGTTCGGGCGAAGGCGATGCCCAAGAAGCCGATCCACCTCGACCTCAACGCACCCAGCACACCGACTTTCCGAGAGACTGTTTCACCGAACAGCCCTTATACTATATACGACGACTCCATTTTCTACGCCCTCGGTCGCTTTGCCCCCGGCACTTCTTTTCATCGAAGGCTTTGGGGTGATGTGGCCGGAAGCGAGCCGCCGTGACAAAGGCCCTACGGCATTATCCGAGGTTCGAATGGAGACACCCAACACCGAGGTCCCACAGTTCGGCTTTCGGACTACCCGTCGATTTGATGGATTCCCGGTGCTCTCTCCGACTTTGGAACCGTTGATGAGGTTGGGCGCAAACAATGTGGCGATGCTTCCCCCGGGAAACCGCCCTGTCGCGGCCTTTGCATCCGATGCTCCGTGGGAGATCACCTACGAAGGGGTTTACTATGTCGATCAGGTTCTCAACTGCCCCACGCACAGATCTACCCCGACCCAATTTGGTGTATTACTCGATCTGCCGGCGCACTGTCCCGACACACATGTTCTACAACAACGAGCGCTTCTGACGACTTCGATTTTGGTGCAGCTGCGCGAGGGAGATCAACACTCTCTCGATCAACTACGCAGGCTCTCCCCCGATCTCCACCATGGCACGACACTTTAGCTTTGCGATTTTGGACTGCGTCTCCTCGATGCTACAGCCGAGCGCCCGCACTTGGTTTGCACAGCGCGATCATGTGGCGGGGTTTGTGAAGGCAGAGCCCCCGAGCTACTTCCTTCGATTTCGAGGATGATGCTTTCTCAGTGAGCGCTGTAACATTTCGTAGGGCTCACATTACCACGATCAGACCTCGGAGCGCTTCCGCCTAGGCGATGCGCGCGGCCCAGGTCGTATCTCGGTGATCCCCGAGAATACACGATGTGACATAGCAACTCTGCCACGATGTTGTTCAGTCGATATAATTCGACGATTGTATATTTTGATTACTGTCGCCACTTCCGCCTAGGCGAAGTGTGGTGACAGCAGAGTCCAAATCCAGGTAGCCGACAGGTCACCGCAATTCGAACAAACAGCTTCGCCATGCAGTTTAGCAGACTGTTAGCTAGGCTCCGCTTGCTCAGTAGTGGGGCCTACCTTCTCCTTGGAGACTGTGTGGCTTCTGTAGCGCTCGAGCTCCCCGTTCCGGCCTGTCTCCGGCACTTCTTCGAGAACGAGGCACAAAAGGCGGCCACCGGTACGATGTGTTCGACCGCACCACGGTGGAGGATTTCGACGAGCCGGTGGCACATTGCGGTGGACACCAAGTGCGGCCAGTGTGCCAAGTGCTACTTCGACTCCATGTGGGATCAACGACCCACAAACCGTGCTTCTGTGTCAAGGGTCGATTGACCCCCGACATCAGCATCTACGAGCGGTACAAGTTGGGCGGCAAAGTGTTCGGTTGGCGCAAAACGTACTTCAAGAAGAAGTTCCGCGATCGCAACAGCAGCTGGAAACAGATGTGCGAAGGAGTACACCGAGAGAGACCCGGAGCATCGAGCAGCGAGGTACGACGGACTGTCCGACTTCGTCTACTACAGCTCACCGATCGCTTCATCGCGGACATCGAGGGCCTCGACGCAGACCGGCGAAATTTCGTGTTCAGAGCCTTCGAGCAGTGGCAGGCGTCTTCGATTTCCAAGACCATCGACCCCAACTGGAATGGCGACGAGTTCTGGAATATGGCCCTCAACGACGCTCCTCTCACCGATTGGTTCTTTAAGATCTCCGACCGCTTGGACCAGCATTTCATTTGCCGCAATCAGGACTGCGCGTCAGTGATCCACAACCACATTGGCTACGACAGGTTTCTACGGCATACAAGCTCCGAGATCAACGCGGCCGATACACATGTCCACGATGCCTGACGCCTTATCGACCACATGCTCTCCGGACCAACTCGGCTTCATTCCAGGCAAAAATCTTGGCGCCGGCACAGAAGGCCGTGATCATCGATTCCACCGGACAGTGGCGCGACGAGATGCCGGTTCGGGGACAACGAATCCATAACGTCGATCACGAGTACTACATCTACTTGACCCACTGGGAGAAGGAAGACGATGACGCTCTGATTGGGCGACTCAAACAGATCATGGCGGGATACCAGGTCGATTTGGGCTCCGACGACTTCCGAAATCGACTGATCTGCGCCATTCGCGACCAGAACGTCAAATACCAGAAATTGGGCTACTTCACCGAGGCCCTTTGGACGGAAGAGAACA